TAGGAACATAAATATTTACAAGTGTTAGATCTTCTTGTTGGATAGACCCTTTAAGTATGATGTAGTGTCCTTCTTCATCTCTTATTACAGTCTTTGGTTTAAAATCTAATTTGTCTGATATAAGGATTGCCACCCCAGCTTTCTTTTGGTGTCCATTAGCATGGTAAATGGTTTTCCACTCCCTCACTTTCAATCTGGAGGTGTCTTTGGGTCTAAAATGAGTCTCTTGCAGACAGCATATTGATTGGTCTTGTTTTTTAATCCAATCTGATACCCTGTGTCTTTTGATTGGGGCATTTAGCTCATTCACATTCAGGGTAACTATTGAAAGATATGAATTTAGTGCCATTGTATTGCCTGTAAGGTGACTGTTACTGTATATTGTCTGTGTTCCTTTCTGGTCTATGTTACTTTAGGGCTGTCTCTTCACTTAAAGGATCCCTTTTAATGTTTCTTGCAGGGCTGGTTTGGTGATTACAAATTCTTTTAGTTTTTGTTTGTCCTGGAAGCTTTTTATCTCTCCTCTTTTGAATGACAGCCTAGCTTAATAAAGTATTCTTGGCTGCATATTTTCCTCATATAGCACCCTGAATATATCATGCCAGTCCTTTCTGGCCTCCAGGTCTCTGTGGACAGGTCTGCTGCCAGTCTAATGTTTCTACCCTTGTAGGTTACAGACCTCTTTTCCCACCCGAGCTGCTTTCAGAATTTTTCTCTTTGTGTCTAAGATTTGCAAGTTTCACTATTATATGTTGGGGTGTTGACCTATTTTTATTGATTTTGAAGGGGGTTCTCTGTGCCTTCTGCACTTGAATGCCTGTTTCCTTCCCCAGATTAGGGAAGTCCTCCACTATAATTTGCTCCAGTATACCTTCTGCCCCCCCCTTTCCTTTTCTTCTGGGATCCCAATTATTCTAATATTGTTTCACTGTATTGTATCACTTACGTCTTGAACTCTCCCCTCATGATCCAGTAGTTATCTTTTTCTCAGCTTCTTTATTCTCCATCATTTTGTCTTCTATATCACTAATTCTCTCTTCTGCCTAATTTATCCTAGTAATTAGTGTCTCCATTTTTGTTTGCCTTTCATTAATAGCCTTTTTGATTTTGACTTGGTTAGATTTTAGCTATTTTATTTCTCTAGAAAGGGATTCTCTAGTGTCTTCTGTGCTTTTTTCAAGCCCAGCTAGTATCTTTATAATCATTATTCTGAACTCTAGTTCTGACATCTTACTTATATCCGTACTGATTAGGTCCCTGGCAGTCAGCACTGCCTCTTGTTCTCTTTTTTGAGGTGAGTTTTTCCATCTTGTCATTCTATCCAGAGAAGTATAGATGAAAGAACAAAATACTAAAATGGCAACAACAAAATATATAGAGAAATATACACTAAACAAATCATAAGAGAGCTGAAACCAAAAAAGAATAAAATAATAAAAATTTAAAAAAGAGAGAGAGAGAGAATTTAATCAGACAAGTGAACAGAACAGAGCAATACACTATATCCTGAGAGATTTTGGTCTGTTTGTTAGAAGAAACTGCATCCCAAAATTGTAAAGAAAGAAAAACTTGTATATATACAAAAATAAAATTAAGTACAATGAAAGTATAGAATGTAACTCTAAAAATGAAAATTTAAAATGATTTTTAAAAAAGAGTTGATAAAGTAAGAAATTGGTTGAAAAAGGAAAGAGAAAAAAAATTAAAATTGAAAGACTAAAGAATCATGGGGGGAAAAAATACATGAATTCTATATACTATTTTCCCCTAGCACTGGAGTTTTGCAGTTTTCTGTGATCGGTAAACTTGGTCTTGGCCAGTTGTTCTTGCTGACCTTCTGGGGGAGGGGCCTGTTGTGCTGATTCTCAGGTGTCTTTTTCCCTGGGCGTAATTGTACAGCCCTTGCCAGGGGGCCAGGCTAAGTAAGTGGCTCTGGATTGCTCTATGTGGCTTTTGTTCCCTGAAGGTTTTCCACACAGCTTTAGAGGTGGAGAATGAAAATGGCAGCCTCCCAATCTCTCGCCCCAGAGGAGCCAAGAGCTCAGGGCCCCACTCCTCAGGGCACCTTCAGGGAAAAGCAGTCACTCCTGTCTCCCTGGTCTCCATCCACACTCTGTGCTCACCCAGCCTGTGACTGAGCATTTCTATGTCAGGCACACAACCCTGTCCTGAGTCTCCAAACCCTGCAGACTCCTGTGACATGTACTTGCACCGCTCCTCCTGGCAGAGGAAGTGGGGGTCTCACCGGGGTTCTGCCCCTCACTGGGCCCCTGCTCAGAGAGCAGTCTCCCGACTATACTGCTGTTTGTGGTACATGGCAACTCTGGGCTGAAAGCCCACTCCTGGGCTCACTTATTGCAACCCGCTCCAATGCCTGGAAACTCTGCCGCACTCGGCACCTCGGTATTCCTGTGACCCTGGGGACCCTGAGGCCACACTATCCCTCCTAGGATTGTGCCCTGTTTTCAGGCAGGGACGTCCTTCACCCGAGCAGACTTCTTAAAGTTCTGATTTTGTGCTCTGCTGCTATATCACTTTCTGGTAGCGGGTTTACAGAGGCTCCCTCCCCTCACGGTTTATCTTCCCATATATCCCCTCGGATTTGCTTCTCCACACCTCCTACCTTGCAGAAAGTGGTCGCTTTCCTATTTGTAGAATTGCAGCAATTCTTTTCTTAGATCTCCGGTTGAGTTTGCAGGTGTTCAGAATGATTTGATAAGATAACTAGCTGAATGCCTGGGACCAGACGAAACTAAGGTCTCCTACCCCTCCCCCATCTTGGACTATTCTCGCATTTTGTTTGCTTTTTAAATTTTTTTTCATATTAATAGCATTTGAATTTATAAAGATGAGCATGATTTTTTTTACCATTGGCCAAAACATGTATAAAATTTTCCATCTTAACTATTTTTAAGTGTACAGTACATTGTTAACTATGTGTGCCCTGTTATGCAACAGATTCATCTCACAAAACTAAAACTCTGTATCCATTGGACATTTCCCCTTCCCCCCCCTCCCAAAATGCTGGCAACTGCTGTCCTACTTTCTAAGATGTCTTTTTAACTTTCAGTCCTTTAGAGTCCTCAGACTTTTACTTTATGGTTTAGCTTTTGTGATTATAAAACAAATGTTTATTGTCCTAAATAGACAGTAAATACCCACTTGCCAGCACTCAGGAAACAGAACATTGCCAGCAGCACCCCAGAAGCTTTTCATGTACCCCTTTCTAGTGGCAACTCGCTCCCTTTCTCTTAAAGGCCACCACTATCCTCACTTTATATGGTATCCATTCCCTTGCTTGGTTGATGACCAAAGTTTGTTTCTCTAAAACAAGTCAATTTAGTTTTGCCTGATTTTGAACTTTATGTAACAGTATCATAGTGTGTATATTCTATTATAATTTGGTTCTGTTACTCAGTATTATTTTTAGTATTAGTCCATGTTATTACCTTTGACTGAAGTTTATTTGCATTGCTACATACTATTGCATTGTGTGGACATACCACAATATGTTTATGCATTCTTTTATCAATGGACAGGGATTTTCAAGACATTTATGACCATTTTTATACGTTTCCTCACACACATCTATACATATCTCCTACTCCACTTTTTTTTCAGGTGTATGCCTACATAGAACTGCATGCAGGACCATAAAATATAATAGAGAGATCTTTACCTTTAGTAGATAGTGCCAGACTGTTTTCCAAAGTGATTGAAACCATTTGAACTTCCAACAGCCGAAATTGAGAAAGTCTAGTACACACATTCTCACCATCATTTGCTGTTGTCCTATTTATTTTTGCCATATAGTGAATGCTTAGTAGTATATTACTGTGGTGTTGTTTTTCATGTTGTTGATCACAAGTGAGGTTCAACACCTTTTCATATATTTATTGGCCATTTGGATTTCTTCCTTTGTAAAGTGCCTGTATAAGTGTTTTGCCCATTTTTTACTGGGTCGTTTGCCTTTTTCTTATTTGTTTTTAACAGTTCTTTATATATTCTGGACATAGGCTCTTTGATGGTTTTATATTTTATAAACATCTTCTCCTTTCTGGCTTATCTTTCCTTCTCTTCATAGTGTCTCTTGATGAATGTATCATCTTAATTTTGACATAGCCAAATTATTCTAGTACTTTTCAGTGTTGTTTTAAGATGATGTAAGTGACCTTTAAAAATCTAATTTGTTTCCTTAACTGAAAAAACCAATATTTAAATGTGCTTATTGTAAGCTTGAATTCTTTACAGCTAAGAGCTTGGCAGACCTTCTCCTCAAAGAGAATGTCAATGACAATAATGGCCACAATGTTAAACATTTGAAGAACACTTTCATCATTTTCACATTTAGGTTCCCCATATAACCTAGAATTTTTAAATCATTATAATTCTGTTTGGCTCTCTTTCAACAAATAGATCCTGCAGCATATATGATTATCTTATTTTCTATAACTCCTAACCGAGTACCATCCTGTGCCACCTTATGGTGCTGTTATATATGCATATGGGGGTCCATATGGGCATATGTCCCATCTTTCCAACTGGGCTGAAAGCTCCTTGACATCAGAAGATTTGTAAATGCATCTTTGTATCTCCTGTGGTGCTCTGCATTAAGTAAGCAACTAGAAAGGTGATAATAATATGCAGGGCCCCTGAATATTTAGCCCTTCAAAAGAAAAGAAAAATGAGTTTTAACAGACATGAGATCCTCGGATTTTCTTCTAAGGATTACATGGCTTGTTGCAGTTCTAATATATGATTGATGATTGCTGATTATCCCAACCACATTTCGACCAATCAGTATAATCACCTTCACTTTCCAGACCTTTCAATGAACAGCTGATTTGTCATCCACATCCTTGTCTATTCTACTGTATAGCCCCTGTTAGAGATATTGATGGGAGCCAAGGGGTAGCACAGATAATTCAGAACATGGATAATCTACTTTCTTCTTGAATGTCACAAAATCCAAAATATGTTTATGTGCATTTGCTTCTCAGGTAGAAATGAGTCCTCTGGAAAATGCAATTGAAGTGTTGGAAAATAAGAATCAGCAGCTGAAGACTCTGATTAGTCAGTGTCAGACAAGACAGATGCAGAATATTAATCCCTTGACTATGTGCCTGAATGGAGTTATAGATGCTGCGGTTAATGGTGGAGTTTCCAGGTATCAAGAGGTGAGGATTAGGTATTGTTGTCTGAAAGTTTTTAAATTTGATTTCTTAGGGCTTCAGAAGTCTTTTTTCAAAATATGCACACACATCTGCATGCTAATATCGGGTTACAATTGACACAGAGTTCTTTGTTAAATAGAGCAAATAGATAGTCATTTGTGATGCACACTTATTCCATTTGCCGATATGTGGTATTTTGGGGATAAAAGTGTGTGCATGTGTGTGTGTGTGCTTGGATGAATAAAGTGGTGAAGTTATCAAGATTGTTTAATAAATGTCTACCTAAGGGCGCCTGGGTGGCTCAGATGGTTAAGCGTCTGCCTTCGGCTCAGGTCATGATCCCAGGGTCCTGGGATCGAGTCCCGCATCGGGCTTTCTGCTCCTTGGGAGCCTGCTTCTCCCTCTGCCTCTCTCTCTCTCTCTCTCTGTCTCTCATGAATAAATAAATAAATTATTAAATAAATAAATAAATAAATAAATAAATAAATAAATGTCTACCTAAAACCGCTTCCTTGACCAAGGAGGCTCACAGGCATAGAAACGTCTGATCTTGTTTAGAAGATACTTTAAATGGACTTTTCATCTGCCCTTGTGGTTTTAAACAGAAAGTCAAAACAGCTTGAAAGGTGAGGAGGCTACCATTTTAGTCATACTGAATATTAAAGCACTTTATTTTAGGATACAAAGCTTATTGATTTGGATTTGCTATTTGCTTGCTTTACCAGAGACACTTATTTACACAATCGCGGCTCTTTAACCAATCCTTTCCTTATATTCCCTTTCTGACCAGCTGCCCACAGCAGGAGTCATTCCTTCTGCCCCACAAATGTGGTTTTCAGTGGTGTTTCTTTAAAGATGCCAAGTCTTTAGAAGCAGCTGTGTCTTTCACTTTCTTTTTAACTTTCCTGAAGTAAACTGACTCTCCATTCTCTTTCTAGGCATTTTTTGTCAAAGAATATATCTTAAGTCACCCTGAAGATGGAGAGAAAATTGCACGGTTAAGAGAGCTAATGCTTGAGCAGGTAAGGTGGGGGCAGAAGCCAATCACCTGCTCTCTTTCCTGCCTAGATTTGCATAGTTACCCAGAGACCCATCTCCTTGGTTTTCTATGTCAGTGTTCTAACAGAAGAGGTCAGCTAAGCATTATAGATTCCAACTTGCTAATTTTTACTTTTACTTCCCACTTCGATGCAAAAATAAATTTAACAATGAGTAAACTATGACAGCCCCGTAAAATGGACAACTTCATGTAGTCTCTTGGACTAGTGTTTGAATGTCTCTCCCTAAAGACTTGCTGTAGGCTTGATGCCAACTTTTCACTCAAAATTTGGGGCTCACGTAAGTTCAGACCAACTCAAAATAAAGGAATAGATAAATGAATGAGGGAAGGAATGAGATTCTTACTTAAATGTTATAGTAAGGGGCAATCAATAGACTTTGCTTTAAAACAAAGACTAAGCCTATAGATGATAGGATATGGACAAAACGAGATACAGGCTCATCATTTTCTACTCCAAAGAAGCATAGTTTATTTATTTAGTTCCAGCAAGTACAAAGAACTAGAGTAATCTCTTTGCCTGCTATGTTCCCGGAGCTAGCTCTTGGCCTGAAAATGGTTTGAAAACCTCTGAGGTAGGAGACATGATGGTCAAGAGGCTGAGTTAAATAGGAAATAAGGACATTTAACACCCATAAAAAATGGAATACGTATGAAAAAATGTGACCAAAGCATCTCCTTCTACTTGATAATACCAAATTAATCAACAAATAAGGCAAGCCCTTTTGGGTAAGAAAATGATGAGGTTGTATCTGATTTTCATCCATATTTTATGCTCTGCAGGCTTAATCCACAGACCTTAATACTGGGGAGACAGAAGTGGCCATGGACAGGTACCATGGCTGGAAGAGGGTCAGTTATGCAGCTTCTAGAAAAGAGAAAGGAGTTACTTTAAGGTGACCTGCCAGGAAATCGAGAATAAGTTAAGTTCTCGATGTGGCCCTAGGGGTGATGTAGATATTAAAAGTGAGCAAGTTAGGTTATCCAGTTCTTAGGATTTTGGAATGACTGTGGCCTTTGTTGATATTCAATGATCAGTATTTAACCTGAGCACAGTCTCTTGTGAGTGGTTTGCCTCACTGCAGGACTCTTACTTGGTGTATTCAGTCTGACTGAATTTTTTCCCCAGAGTTAAAATTAAAAGGACCAAGAAGACTCTCAAGAAAAATAAAATCAGGAACCTTTGTTTCCTCCACATCCTGCCTGTGTTCACAGGGCCTTGTGGAAAGAGCTGTGACACAGGAGACTTTATATCTCTGTCATAGGATAAGCGGTACAAGTGACTGCCATGTGACCTTGGGCAGGTCACACCATCTTTGTGAGACCGTAGGAGTAGGGGATTGGGCTGGCAAGGGCACTACCCTCAGCTGGACCTCTGTGAGGTGGTTCAGATAAACTACCTGGGGGCCTCGGAGATGCCCTACCCCGGTGGCTCTTCCAGAAAGGACTTGGCCCAGCTGAGGGGAGTAGTGGCCGTCGACAGACGCTGTTGGTGCTAAGGTCCTTCAGCTGTTGCCTCAGCTGCAGAATGCTGCCTGGCCCACGATCACCACCTTCCTGGGTGGCCCGCATCCAGTGACTGAGGAGGAGATATAAGGCCCGGCCATCTGAGCCCAACACAGCACAACTCTGACAGCCTGTTTGAGGCCCAGAGCTCCCCTGGTGTCGGCAGAGGCTGACATGACTGCTGTGTGTCTCGGCTTCTTTTTAGTCAGTCCTGCTTCTGCCGCTCCCTCACACAGACAGTGATGCCAGGTGACTCCCCAGTAAACATCCTCATCTCCATGCCAGAGTCTACTTCTGGGAGAACCCAACCTGCAACGTGATTTTGACAAAACAGAGTCCTACAGTGAGTGTTTAAAATGGAAACTGGATTCCTGCCCTTGAGGTCAACTCTTCCATGCCCTTCTCCCTTCGTCAGACTCTTCCTTTATGCCTCAGACATCCACTCCACTCTCACTACTCCCTTTAAAGGTGTCCTTGAGGTTTAACGTATTTTTATTCTTATGCAGATATGCTGGCGGTGGGTAGGGGCTGCCACAGTCCTGCCCACGTACAGAAGGTGCTGGACACTCTAACCCACCAGGCTCAGTCCTGTTTGACTTGAGCTTTCAATCTTGAATCTTCACAAGATGTCAAGATAAAAACCACTGTGGTGACGGTGTGATTCACTTTCCTCACAGTCGGTGAAACTTGTTCTTTTGACCACGTTAGCATGGGGGCATTTTTTTAAATGTAAAAGATAGCTGGTACTCAGAGGAATTAAGCACTATTCATAGTTGAAGAACAAAAGAAACTTGAATTGTTTGTGTACATCTCTTTTGGGTCCTCACCACAGAAAACCTCTTTTTTTTTTTTTTAAGTATGAGCTGCTCCTTATTGCATTATAATAAGTGAACCAGAATAATCATTTTTAACAAAAACAAAAAGAATGGCAACTATTATAGAATTCCTGTTCCTATCCTACCTCCATGTCTTCCTCAACCAAATTCTGAAAAGGGAGGTGGGGGGAGGAGAGATGGGCACAGCACAGTGGAAGAGAAAGAGTATCGTGAAAAAGGGCATACCATCCAGAGAAGAGATCCCTTGGGGAGAAGCTCCTGCCCAATCCTGTGAAGTACAGAATGGAGCCAAGCAACACATAACTGCTTAAAAGGGTGGTTATTACAGATCTAAAATACATGGGAAAGAAACTTCGGGTAGGAGGTAAATCAGAAAGACCTAAGTTTGAATCCCCATGCAGGATCGTTCTGATCCTCAGTGTCCTCACCTGTAAATGAAGGATTGTTCCTATCTTGTGGGGTTGAGAGGATTAGCCATAACACATGCAGAGTGCATGGTACAGTGCTTGACCCTCTAGCAGGCACTTGGTGGAGTTATTCACTGATGCGTTTTTTTTTTTCCTTTTCTTGTTATCAAGGCACAGATTTTGGAATTTGGTTTGGCCGTGCACGAGAAGTTTGTGCCTCAAGATATGAGACCCCTACACAAAAAGCTGGTCGACCAGTTCTTTGTGATGAAGTCAAGTTTAGGGATACAGGTACGTACCCAAAGTGTCCATAGGGGGCAGTCTGACCACTGCCGGTTGCTTTTTGTTAGCGGGACGATGAAGTATCCAATAGTGACATCTTTTGGTTTTCCTACCAAACTGCACCATCTTACCAGGGAGTCCTCCAGTATTAAAATTTTGCATCATCTTCTATTTGCCTTGTTCAACTTTTATGAAAACAAAAAAGGGCAAGAAAGCTTAATAATACTGAAACTTACCTTTATAACCTTACGTAAAGATTTCATAACAATATGCTAAAATACCTCACGAGTTCTTTTGCCCCTATAATTACTCGTCTAAAATATTTCCTTGTCTCCCTCTCTAGGAGTTCTCTGCTTGTATACAAGCCAGTCCAGTCCATTTTCCTAATGGAAGCCCCCGCGTGTGTAGAAACTCAGCACCTGCTTCTATGAGCCCAGATGGTACCAGGGTAATTCCTAGACGCAGGTAAGTCATATTCTGAATTATCTGACAATTTGGCATCCACCCAAGATCTGGAATGATTCTCTCATTCTTTATGGCACGATTTGTCAAATACGCTATTTCTTAATGAAATAATTAACCCGCGAGGCAGCTGCAGACATCTGCCACTGGTAAAACAGCAACAGCATGAGAAATAAATAAACTCAAACATTTGATTATATTGAGGCAAACAGGAGACAACAAAATGGGATTTATATATTTTTTTTCATTTGGTTTTATACGACACCAGCATGTGATAAAGTGCAATTCAGAGACTGAGTTAATGACCATTTTTTTCCCCCCAAAACAGCCCATTAAGTTACCCAGCTGTCAACCGATATTCTTCCTCCTCACTGTCCTCACAAGCTTCTGCTGAAGTAAGCAATATTACAGGGCAATCAGAAAGCTCTGATGAAGTCTTTAACATGCAGGTACTTGATTGGCTTTTTAATCGTCTGGTCGTGTGTATTCCTTTTCTGTCTCAATCATGAGAGTTTCTGTCCACTCTGCTGGGCTATTGAACAGATCTGCGAGCAAGAACATTGAGTTAAGGACAAACCTTTAAACACTCTCACTGCTCTGTTGGTCTCTGGAGTCTACAAAGAGGTTTCCCCCAAAACTGCCCCCTCCACTCTCAGAAGACGTGAGCAAGAATGGGAAAGCCTGGGCAAACTGCGCAGGGTTAGCTTTGAAACCTGCTTCTGATTTGCTTCTTCCATTCAGGACCCTTGGAGCCTGTCACCACATCCTGGCTGCCTCTTAGCATTGCTAAGTGGCCTCGTTGCTTCACAATACACAGTTGAGAGGGCCATTATACAATTTCTCTACTTCTGCTCATGTCAGAAAATGTTCATAATAAAAAGATTTTTACTGAAGAAACAAAATAGTTTTTAAGGACATTAGTCAGTGTAACTCTGCAACACAGAATTTTATTTAGACCCTACTAATACAGCATTTATAATAATTTAGTAAGAAGAAGTTAAAATTTTCCTCACCACTGTCTTTAGAAAAGGGGCATAGTACATATTGCCAAATTCATGCCTTGAGCACATTTTTGGAGAAAACAAGAAGGTGCATTTTCTGCTTTTTAGAAGCACTCCCCTGTCTCTGTGCCCTAGGCTGGGGGTCCTTCTGCTTGTCCATTAGTCAGTGAGGGCTACCTGCTCCTCCATCCCCGTAGATCCGGAAAACTAATAACTAATTCAAATGCGTTCCTTTGGCTGGAGTCAAAGCCTCAGGTTTTTTTTTTTGTTTTTTTTTTTTTAGAGTATTTTGATTTTAAATCTTGGATTCTTGATTAATTCAGACAGGCTTCCTTATCAGCCTGAGATTTTTCTCTATTTCTATATGGCCTTTTTCTTTTTATTTTTGTTTTGTTCTTGTTTGTTTTTTGGCTACTTTGAAAGAAAAGGGCAGGGATCTTGTTTTCAATATGTCACTGTTGTCTGGAGCCTCTCAGCAGTGGATGATAACAGCTCCCATGTATTTGCAGCCAAGTCCATCTACCTCAAGCTTGAGTTCGACTCACTCTGCTTCACCTAATGTGACAAGTTCTGCCCCATCAAGTGCCAGAGGTCAGTGCCAGGGTATGGGGCTGACTGAGGGTGCCCCAGGAGCTGTGGCCCTGGCACCCCAGCCCAACATGTCCTCCAGGCAGGTCCAGCACACGCCCTGACGATCCTTCCTTTCCTTCTCTTCTCAGCTTCCCCTTTGTTGTCTGACAAACACAAACATTCCAGAGAAAACTCTTGCCTGTCCCCGAGAGAGAGACCATGCAGTGCCATCTACCCAACACCTGTGGAACCTTCTCAGGTAGTCCCTTGGGGGGCATGGAGATACTAGAAAACAAGCCAGTGTCTGAAATTGCTTACATATCTCTGCAGAAAAACCCTGTACCTGCCAGAGGCAACCAGATGGGCTGTGTTAGACAAGTCGATCTGAGTGAAGAGTGAACCTCTGCTCCATGCCTGTTGTTCGAAGTTTCTGTTGGAGCCATATTTCTGATACTGATACATGGGTTGTTGCCTGAGCAGTAAAGTGGAGTGGAAAATGGGAAATGATTTTTCCCTCCTTGACCTGACTCTCTAGTTCATTGCTGCTATTTAAACAGTACAAGGGTAATTAGGTGAATGAGTTGGAGTGTCTGTGTGTGTTTGCATGTGTGTGTAGCAGGAATTTCAAGCAACTTTCTCCATTAGCAAGAGACCCTTGAGGAGAAACATGATCTGTCCAGCAGCCTTTCTTTTGGCCTGTACCTAGTTTGAGAGAGCTTCAGTTGATTCCTTTCTGAGGTACCCAGGAGCGCAAGGACAATTTCTGTTCACCTTTGCCATTCTTTAATGCACTGGGGGAGGAGCAGTTGAGTGCCCAGGCTTTCACGGTCCCTCCACCCCCAGGTGTAAAGGACCATGGTCCTCAGCTCCTGCCTGGACTTGATTTTGAAGTGATCCTGATGTAGGAAAGATGTTAGGGTTCGAAGCCGATGGCCAAGAAACTTGAATTCTTGAGACGTCTTTGGTGCAAAAAGGTGATTTTATTAAAGCACAGGGATAGGATCAGTGGATAGAAACAGCTGCACCGGGGTTATGAGGAGTGGCCCGTATATACTTTCAAGTTGGGAGGGGGTTAGGGATAGCGTAAGTCTCTAAGGAATTTGGAAGCGAGGTTCCCAGGACCTTGAGGGGCTAGCTGTTGTTGGAAAAGTGTCATATATTACTGTCTAATAAAACCTGACTCATGAGACCCTTCAGATGTGTATCAATGGGCCATATGCTTGGGGGATGATTGCCAACATGTATCTGGGGGGTGAGGGGGTTTAGAGATAAAGGAAGTTTCCAAAAGAATTTTTATATGTTAAAGTAGGCTTACAGGATCCTGGGGGGCGGGGGGGGGGATGTGGTCAGGCTAGGATTGCCTTTTGATCCTTAGCGAAGTATCAACATCAAGGCAGTTGAGTCGCTAGAGTAATATCCCTCTGCCTGTTTCAAGGACTTGGTCAATGGGCTGTAGGTAGTAAGGAAATTGAATAATTTTTCTTCTGCCTTTGTTTCCCACATCCATTCTCTTAGTCCAGGTGAGGGCAGGGCCAAGGGCTTGGCTCTCTGGGCACTTCAGGGGCTGTGAAGGGTGGTTTCCAACGTGAAGATTCTTGGGTAGCCCTGTGTTTTACCGATGATTTGGGAATAATTTAGGAGCAGAGAACAATACTTACTTATGTTCCAGCTAATTTTTCTGTTTTTCTACACCACCCTGGCAGAAGTCTGTAGCTGCATCTGGAAATGGATGAGAGCGAGTGGGATGTGGCTTGATTGGTTTATCTTTGCTGATTGTGTAATCTTCCCGAAAGCCCCAGGATACCTCCTCTGCACAACACTGATGTCTCGCAGAAATTCTCTCTGAGTGCGTTTGGCTGAACCAGCTCACCAGTTTTCCTTCCCTTTGTCACCTGATGTTGCAAGGGAATTTCACACTTGGTCCCATCTGCTCCAGGAGCTCATGTTGCCCGCATGGGGGACTCTGAAAGCCTTCCTTGATTAGCCTCCGACTTTTCCGCTTTTGGTAAAACATGCAGCAGTGTGTAGTTGCCAAAACCTCAATAATACACATTGATATGGTGCATCTACTTTTAAGGACTTGCACTTTTTCTCTTAATGTATTAGGTAGAACCATGTAAAACTGGCATTCTCATGGGTTAAAAATCGTAGAATATTGTCCATTTCATATGTTTTTAACCTACGATCGAAAACATGTCCATTCACTAGAGATTTTTTAAGCTAATATTTCTTAATTTTTATCTGCGTTTCATATTGCCAGTCTAAGCATTCTTATTTATAAAGAGCACCATAGCTTAACTGCTGCTTACTGTTTTTCCCTCCATTTTATTATGAAAACTTATTTACCATTTACACTTAAAATCTAATACAAACTTCTTAAACTTAAGACTCTTCTCCCCTTTTTTCCTTAAATATAATTGAATTCTTGGTTCCCAGGCTCATCATGTACCATATAAAAATTATTTTGAACCAAAAGTTTCAGTTATGAGACAATCATCTCATTTTCTAGAAGGTCTCACATGACAGCATATTGCACCATAAAAATGGATTCTTGTACCTTTGCAGAGGCTGCTGTTTAATCATATTGGAGAAGGGGCCTTGCCACGCAGTGACCCAAATCTTTCCGCACCTGAGAAAGGTGGGTATGAAGCCAGCCCCCTCATCGGTCCCGGCAGGCGTCAGGGTTTGTTTTGTCCTCATTTTCTCCAGTCTGTCGTGTGTCTATGTGGAAGGCAGATCTCCGGATCTTTAATAATCGGGACTAATTTGCCCTTTAGGGGACTCATGAGAGACAGTCCTTCGTGATGCATTCTTTCAAAACTGTTTTCTTGTAGGATTGAACAGCAGAATCTGAGCAAATTAGGAACTCCTCGGTTACATGGCTTTTGGGGTCCGAGCACAGGCCTGTGCTCCCTGAAACAAAGCTGCTGAAGAGGCTACTTATTCAGCACAGTGAAAAATAGCACCTTCCCAAATGGATTCCCTGGTCCCACTCTTTGTTTCCCTTACAAAGCTCATTCTGCCAGTTCATCTCTTGTTTGTGGTGACTCAGATACTATTTAAGAATTGCAATCCAGTGCATAATGGAGTGTGCCCTGCCTCAAGGTCACACAAAAAATGAGAAACGCACGCAAGGCAGTTAATAGCCAATTAGCATCGGTCTGTGCAACACGGCAGGCGATGAAGAGCAGATTCAATGTGACTCTCTCCACCGTGCGGGTGGGGGCCTGCAGCCAGTCACCTATATGCCTCGCTCAGGGTCAAGCCTCAAAAATCCAAGCGGTCCCATAAGCCAATGAATCGAGCCACTAATGAAATGTTCCCATAAAGTGCACTTTAATTGCCCTCATTAAGAACTAAACTGTATTGTCATTGGACTACATGGATAGATTAACATTAAAACTTTCCTTGGGAGATGGAAGTTAGTGAGACGGTAGCTGAAATGATTTTAAAGCCCAAATCTTGCTTGAATGTTACACGTCGAATCTTAATCTTTGCCTGGAGAACTTAGTATTTTTCTCAGCCCTTCTACTAAAGAAAATCACAAAGCCAATTTAAAACGAACTGAGAAAAATTATTTTAAGCGTGGTGATTCCATCCCCTGAAAGTAATGTGGTAATTTTGAGTAAAATGTTGAAATCCTAGCCGTGTCCATCAGATGGCAGTGTCTGTACAGGGAGCAAGCCACTAGAAATTCTAAGACTTGCTTTTGGAAACCTGATTTCCTAGCAGCTATTTATAATCGTCCGTCTCTTGCCCTTGCTCCTAACAGGGTTGTTCCATATTTCTGCATCTTACTGAAGCATGGAACAGACAAATTACAAAAAAAGGAGTGATACTGTCAGTATTCCAAATTACTTTTTTTTTTTAGGACATACTTCAGTATAATCCATTGATTTCAGGAACAAGGGTCCTTTTCCCAAAGAGTTGGTCAATAGGATGGTGTGGCATGGTCATCGTGCGAGGTAGTTGAAATATTAGCCTGTCACTGCCTTCCCCCTTTTGGGGTGCCACTTGTCCAGAAGTTTCCACTAAAAACCAAGTTTGAAAATATTTTAGTGACTACATCCTCCATCTGTTATCCAGCATCTAAAACACATTTGTAATTCTCAACAGGATTCTACGGTTCTAGGGTAGAGATCTGTAGTTCTGTTTGACTGCTTGAGGGGAAATAAATAGACATGCTAGCACCCAATTAAATGTCAAATATAACTGTGAGGTAGAAAATTAAATAAAGGTTTAGTATATAGGAGGTCTCTTGGGGGGTTTTTTTGTTTTGTTTTGTTTTAAATCCAGTTGATTTTTTCATTCTGGATAATTTTGACTTTCTTCTAAGATCTCAAGCGTTCGAAGGGCAAAGTGGACCATGTGTTTTTAGCTGTGTTATTCCCTTCCAGCTGTGAATCCCACCCCTAGCAGCTGGAGCCTGGACAGTGGGAAAGAAGCCAAGAACATGTCGGATAGTGGGAAAATTATCTCTCCCCCTGTCCCTCCAAGACCCACACAAACTGGTGGGTATTTGAAGCATTTGAACAATCACTTTTATAAAATAACTTTTATGACTACTCCAGCTTGTGGTGAATTCCTCAGAGAAAGGTAGGCATTTGGGGACTGAGGTAAAAACCTTAGTAGCTTAATTCATTTACAGTGTTTTCCCTCTTTCCTGAACTTTCTAGCTACTGTAAGTCAGACAGTACTCCGTTCCTTATAAACTCCATAGACAGATTCTGTAGACTGTTCTCCTGCTAGGCACCATACCTTTGGGGAGGTACCCTAACCTTTGCCAAGCCATTAATATTTTCTCTGTCCTTTGCTTGAACCACCTCATTCTTCAACCTCTGCTAACTCAGCCACTTCACTCTTACTCAGGACTGATGTCAGGGTTTCACATGGCCCCGACATAGGAATTGACTGACTATAACTTTTGATAGGCTTGTGGGGACGTCCATTGCTATCCCTTGCATAGAGAGGTTTGCATTCAAGAGTGAGTGAAGTTTCTCAGGGCGCCTGGGTGGCTCAGTCAGTTAAGGGTTCGACTATTGATTGCAGCTCAGGTCATGATCTCAGGGTTGTGGGATCGAGCCCCACATCACGTTGCATATGGCTCTGCGCTCAGTGGGGAGTCTGCTTGAGATTGTTTCCCTATCCCTATGCCCCTCCCCCACCACACGCCCTCTGATTTGCACACGGGCACTCTCTAAATAAATAAATAAATCATAAAAAAAAAAAGTGAGATTTCCCAAGGGGTTGATTCAGGGGACTGCATCCCCTCAGGTGGTGGTTTAAGAAGCAAATTCTTTTTTTTTTTTTTTTAAGATTTTATTTATTTATTTGACAGAGAGATAGGGAGAGCAAGAACCCAAACAGGGGGAGTGGGAGAGGGAGAAGCAGGCTTCCCACTGAGCAGGGGGCCCGATGTGGGGCTCGATCCTAGGACCCTGGGACCATGACCTGAGCCGAAGGCAGGTGCCTAATGACTGAGCCACCCAGGAGCCCATAAGAAGCGAATTCTCAGGCCTAATCTTAGACCTACTGAATCAGAAGATCACCATTTCCCGGATAAGGCCCTAGAGTTGATATTTTACCAAACCTTTCTAGATTTTGAGAACCACTGAAAATTCTTAAGAAACTTTATGAGTTTATAGCAATAACAGACCCCCTTTCCAACTGAATAAGCCATTTGCTTGGTGACCTTGGTAACTTTGATATGGTATAGTCTTTAAGACCTACCCTGCTGACTCTGCCTATCTTGGTGATGGGGAGAGTCTTTTCAACATTTGCACACATCTAGAGTGGTTTTGGAGCTTTACCAGTACAACTGGCCTAAAAGCAAGAGAAAACATGACATCATTTCTTCACGGATTTTTCTGGGTTGCTCATTCAGGTTTCATTTGTTGTATTTTAGCATCTCATCTTTGTTTTCTATTTTTACTGACTTTCTCTTTTAAAAAACAAAAAAAAAACAAACTGTGTGCTACCCAGTTTGTTCTATACTGGTCAAAGCTAAAAGTCACCAATAGGTTTTGAAAAGCATGTGAGATTTTTCAACAGAACAAGAAATAACCAGGCTTCCTCGATAACCCACATCAGAATACTACTGTGGCCCGAGATGGTTAAGATTCATCAGCCAAGTAGTTTGTATCTATTCAGGCTGTGCAGATATTCAAGGAGTCTCCAGCTTAAACTGGTTGTATCAGTCGTGTCAGAAACTTGAATGGCATTTTCAGAGGAACAGTAATATCGATGGTAGTTAAGATCCTAGGCCCAGTCAAACTTGGAGGCAAGGATAGTGATGGCACTCTTTTAGGTCTAGGGGGAGAATGCCTTTCTAGAGAAACAGCTCTGTGGACAGACTGTGGCTGCAAGGGCTGCTGTGGAGTCCACGGTGGTGGGGTCACGGAATGCCTTTGTCAGGAGGACGAGGAGCCTAAGTGGCAGTAAACTTCGGCTTCTGCCACACACAGCAGTGGCAGGAATACGGTTCCCAGTCAGCGTGTGTCTCTCCACTCACATAGGACTTTCTTCTGTCATCCACCCCCGCAACTGACAGGCTAGAAGGAACCCTGGTGTTTGAAAGTGGCAGGGGCTACACACCCCCACGTGGCCGCAGAGGGCCACTCCCCCCGGTGCGCTAGCTAGCACCCAGAGCACGCAGGTGACCTCTCCTCTCCCACTTTCACCTGGCAGGGCTGCCCTCCCTTCTGCACTGATTGCTCTCCTGGTCTGTCCTCACATCATCATCCGTGGTCACTGTCGGGAGATCCGTAACTGTCTGTCTGTATTTCCTTCAGCCTCTCTCTGGTTTTCTTAAGAGTTGCAAACCTCACTTTGGCAGCTGGGAGAAGGGCAGCTGATCACAGAGCAACAAACCCTGAACTCAGTGAAACCTCTGTAGGTGGAATTGGGAAATCTGGCTTATCCTCACCGTGTTGACTGTGTCACAGCAGCTTTCCGTGTGCATGGCTGTGTTTCAGGGGGCTGGACCCCTGACCCCCAAGCACACAGAGCAGTGCCATCACATGCCGCCTCCCAGCTGTAGGGCTTGAAAACCCAGGGGGAGAAACAGACAGCACTTCTTTGCCATAACGATGAAATCCATAGAGCACTACCACGACCACCAACCCCCCCTCATCCCCCAGGGACAAAAGGAAGACCTGAGTACAAGCATGAGGGAGGGAAATGGAAAACTTCTCTTCTTGTTTGGATGTGGCCAAGGGTTTTCTATTCCGGGAGTGCTGGGGAGTGAAAGGGGAGGCTGGTGTCAATTTATGCTCATGGACCCCTTCTAACCAGCCTAGATGGTGTGGGTCTCCTTGTTGCTCAGACCAAAGTCAGCAGCTATTTTCCAAAGCCTTCTCCCTGGCACCTCACACCTAAAAGCACCTTTTTGAAACAGATCAGGCAGTGGAAAAGCATCTGGACTTCTAGGAAATGGGATATTGGACCAGTTCGAGCTCCTGTCACTTCTGTATAGCATCATGTATGCGCTGGTGACTTTTCACTAATTCTCCCATGTCTTGATGAGGAGTCTGTTTTGGACAGGCATCATTTAGTTTCTCCTCTACCCCCCTTGCCTAGGAGGTCTTTAGGCACTGGACCATCTGTATGGGGTTGTACACAGAGGGCATGTGCAGATAGTGAACCTTCTGGTTTTTCTCAATTCAAAGCATTCCTCTCTCTGTTCACAGCTTCACCAGCAAGACATACAACGTCCGTGTCCCCCTCACCTGCTGGGAGATCTCCGTTGAAGGTACTGACTCATATTTAGACTCAGGCGAGAGACTGTCCCCACATTCCTTCTTTCCTTACGATTCATCCCTGGTACATCACTGAGCTGCTTTCATAGGTACATACCAGGCAAAGAACATCTAAAGAAGGGGTGAAGGAAGATTAGTAAGAAAACACTAGGCTTTCCTTTCAGGGAGCGTCCTCCATCAGAGCCATTTGTGTTCGGATTATTAGCTTCATTTCCCAAATAGTGGCAGTGAAAATGTCCGGACTAGAATCTGTATATACACTGAATTAGGAAAGAAATATGGTCCCACTGTATTTCCTAGGATGTTTTCAGTCTGGTCTTTTGGTTTCAGGGACATCAAAAAAGGAAAAAGAAAAAAACAAATTGAAAAACTCCATCAACAAGCCTAGTAAATGGTCTCCTGTGCCTTTTTGCTTCTGTCAGCCCCAACCATTTGATAAAGTCAAACCCAACTTTTTCCTCCTTTAATGTTTTATACCAACATTTTCATTTACATTAGAGATATATACTTGATCATGAAAAATACGACAGTAAAATGAATTAAAAATTTTCTAGGAAACAAATTGAAAAGCTTTAAAGGTGAGACGTTTAAATTGATAGGTAGACATAAGCTATTTAACATCTCTAAATATACAAAATCCCTCATGAACGTAAAGAATAATATTTAGTCTCTATCCAAATTGAATCAGACTGGCTGCAAGGATTGTCAGTACCTATAGGCATTGGTGTTCAGAGCTGCTGTACCAGAGGCAAATATGGGGTTCAAGTGAGTGTTAAAAGAATGATTTTGTATCTGAGTGAGGGTTTACATGCTCCGTGTCCTTTTTGTTGAGGAGGTATTTCTAGCTAATGTGAAAAAGACAAATTAGCTTCTAAAAACACATAGGGGCAGGTTGTGATCCGATGCATCTGTGTTGCTAAGGATAGTTGCTGATAGAAACTGAGAATCTGGAAAACAAAAGCCCCAAAATGGAGAAAATTGCAAAGAAGTGTGATTTCATATGCATTGCCAACGTTTCTGATGCAGAAATTTGCTGGAGAGTGCAAATTATTTGCTAGTTTTTCTGTCATTCTGCAATGCAGCTGTTAATCATAACGTACACGTGACTGCATTCGTTCTAGAAGCCATAGACTGTCACGTTGATGTGATGGGAAAGGAAGCAACATGATGTTTCCACATCTTACATTTAGCCTTACTCGCAAGGAGCTCCCACATATTGCTATGCAATTACCATCTGCATTTTCCAGCTTGATTTTGCAGAGTAGTAAGTCTTAGAGATTGATTCTGTAAAAAGAACTGAAGGGATAAAAATATTCAAGTAGCTACCAAACAGTCCCATTTAGCAAGGTGGTATATACTTTCTCTCTCTGCAGAGCCGGTGATGTTCTAACTGGCCAGGTGTAGCCCTGTAGGCATATCTATACAAATGGGGCTTGGAGAGAAAATGAATGGAATATTTCTGTTATGACTCCTGCATTACATTAGAGGGCACACTGCTACCAAGTTACGAGCTTTGCTAGGCCTAGGATGAAGTTTATTGCCTTAACTTTGTTTTTTCAGCAGTTAAATGATGGAGTTAATCCTGTGGAGAAGACTGAGCTTACCTGCCTTATTTTAAGCTTGCGGTCTAACTGTTCACAGTGAACAGCAGTGAATTTGGCTCTCTTAATTGGCGACGCTGAATTTTAGGCTCCTGCTAAATGAATTTATTTGTGTTTCCCAGCATTATTTTGTTTAAAAAGAGAGACCAAGGTAGAGTTAGTCTAGGATAACCTTTCACAAAATGTGTGCCATAGAACGTAGTTTTATAGGTCATCATGATAAATGAAAAAATGGTCTGTACTCAGGTAAGTTTAGAAAACCCTGGGCTGCAACGTCCTTTCATTTTCTTGATCATTAAGACTGTAACATGCTACTCTGCTTTGAATGCACTCAAGGAGTACATAGGATGCGACATCTCCCAGTAGAACCCTCCTCACATGGAGCATCACTTAGGGCTCCTTTTCCATAGGAGGCCAGTCAGGGAAGTAGCAAACTCAGATGCCAACTGAATAGACAGCTAATGTGCATGAGCGAAGGAAGCTGGAGAATTCATGCCCCATCTCCAGGGGAAAGGCCCTGCTCAGTTTCAAAAGATTATCTCCATTAAGAGAAAGCAAGCCCTTGTTGATAGAACTTCTTGTTTTTTTATCAAATGCCAAAAATCTGGGGTTTTATGAGAAATCATCCTATTTTAAAAACTTAGTAACCAAGTCAGGTTTTTAAAAAACATGCCAGATGAAACAGGTCCCATTTCAACCTAGAGCCTGAGAGCTGCCCATGTGCCGCTTCTTCGGCTTACCGGTCTGGAATGGCAGAGAACTTTAGTGCAAGCCTAGGGTGCCTCACTCCTCCTCCTGAGGTCTTTGGTAGGACACACCCCCCCCACACACACCCCTGTTAGACTGCCCTGGCTCCTGTCCTCCAGTTCTGACCCCATCCCTGCTGAACTAGAAGGGGGAAATGGCACTCCCAAGGCTGTCTGTTGTTGTTTCTGCTGGTTCCCTCTCAAATGATGGGACTAATTATATACCTCTGAATTTTCTTCCTGATTACTGCTAGCCTTGTTTTGTCCTGAAAATAAGGAGTAAAATGGGCAGCGAGGTAAACGGAGTGAAAGGCAGGTGAATGCCTGAGGTCCGTCTTGCTGCGGAGAATGACACGGCCTCCAGTCTGACGCTGGGTGTTTGCATTAGTCCAGCCAGCACCACAGTTTGGGTGGCTTCCACAACAGAAATGGATTTTCGCACAGTTCTGGAGGCTACAGGATCCAAAAACAAGGTGTCGGGAGACTGGGTTTCTCCCGCGGCCCCTCTCCTTGCCTTGCAGATGGCCGCCTTCTCTCTCTGCCCTAACAGGGTCTTTGCCCACCTTTGGTGCCTCTGTACCCAAATTTCTTCCTATAAGGTCAGATCAGATGAGGGCCCACCCGAAAGGCCTCCCTTTAAGGTACCCCCCTCTTTCAAGGCCCTGGCTCCAGATACAGTCCCATTCCAAGCAGCAGGGATGAGGGCTTGAGTTCATGGATCTGGGAGGTTTACGTGCAGCCCGGGACAGTGTTGATGACTCCGCCGTGTCTCCTTCCCCTCCGGCTTTTCTCCCCCCGCCCCCTTCCCTTCCAGCAGGGCTCCGTGCAGTCTTTCACCCCCTCTCCGGTGGAGTACCACTCCCCAGGACTGATCTCCAACTCGCCCGTCCTGTCAGGCAGCTACAGCAGTGGGATTTCTTCTCTCAGCCGGTGTAGCACCTCGGAAACCTCAGGCTTCGAAAATCAGGTGAACGAACAGTCGGCGCCAGCGCCGGGGCCGAGGCCGAGCTACAGCGGGCCGGACGAGCCGGGGCGCAAGGAGAGCAAAACGCCGCCGCCCTACAGCGTGTACGAGCGGACTCTGCGGCGGCCCGTCCCGCTACCTCACAGCCTCTCCATCCCGGTCACGGCCGAGCCGCCCGCGCTGCCCCCCAAGCCGCTGGCGGCGCGGCCCGGCCACCTGGAGAACGGGACCCGGAGGACTGAGCCCGGCCCGCGGCCCAGGCCCCTGCCCCGCAAGGTCTCGCAGTTATGAGTCCTTTTGCAGGTCCCCGGCGACGACGAGTCCCGGCCGTTTACAAGAGGATAGGCAGGCAGTATGACGAGGAGACGTTTAGTGTAGGCACTTTAATAACTTACTCAGATTTGTCTTTCAATGAATGGAATTAAAACTTGCTTATTAATATGTTGCACAATATTAAGTTACTGATCTCAAGCGCCAGACGTTACATGAAGTATGGCTGACTTTCCTTACAATGTCTCTTCGTTTGAAAGTGGTAAATAGTGTTAAAGACTTCTTTTGTATCTTTTTACGTTCACCTTTTTTATATAGTTTCATCTTAAAACCAATAGGATATTGTCGAACAATATGGCGCGTGATGTTGTTGTATACTTTTTACTGAATACTTGATACTCCGAGAAAGCTTACTAAGTCAATGCACAGCCTAACACAATGGTCCTTACTTTAGAAGACTTCTGTAAATAAGGGGAGATTTCTGGCTCTTTCCGTGAACAGACTGATCAGTGCACATCAGCAGAATTACAAGTTAAAGCAGGCTACTTAGACAATATACTTAAGGGGTTGCAAGGAGTAGGACTGCAAGTTATTTTGTTCTTGAAACAAAATAATTCTTTAAGGTTGCTTTTGACATTTGACCACTGTCTACTTTCTTAAAACTCTACTTTGTGAATCGGTTGGTAAATCCTTTAGTACCCTGACGTCATGGTATCTACTGTATTTCTTTTCAAGGTGCAATTTACTTTCAGAGTTCCAGTCGGCTAGACTAAGCAAAAGACCCCGGGAGAAATGTTTACTTGAATCTTGTGCTTCCGTACTTGATAGTTTCCTCTGCAGCATTTGTCATTGAAGAAGAGCAGATGTTCACGTGTTAAATAGGCACAAATTAATGTGTCCCATTAACAAGAATTCAGGAATCAATACAGGACAGTATTAAATCAATAGCGTAAATGAAGAAAAAAAACCTTAGAGAAAATATATTAGCATGATTAAATGGCAAAAGGACTTTCAAAAGGTAAGGGCATTAACTTTCAATCCTGCACCAAATAGAAAATTCTTCACAACTCTCCAAGCTCCTACCAGAGCTTGGCTTCTTAGCTGATCCTGTTTTTTGAAGGGTAAGATGGCCGTAGACCCCTCTGGCTTGAGTATTGCTACGCAGCATCTCAGATCTAGAGAGGGATGCTAATGCCCCAGTTGCGGAAGAGGGGAAAAAAAGCACCTTGTATGTAGTAATGTATTTTGTATCTTTGTTTTTTTCTTTTACTGACTGTTTATAACACTCAATTGACAATAAATATGAACTGTATTTTAAATCATACTGTTAAATATTTTCCCTCTTTTGTTGGGAAGCTCATTTTAGTTTAACCTTAAGTGTTTGTTTTTGTTGATAGCTTACCTGGAAGGCAGTGACCACTTTTTATATTCTCTTAATGAAACCATTCAGCAGGTATACGCTGTTGAGGCTGGTTACAGAGGTTTTCTATAATAAATGTTCAAGTATTTTTGTACATAACTGGTTAATTTTAATAAGAGATACCATTATGTGTAAAAAAAAAAAGTAAGAATAAAAGCAAACAGTTGTGGATGCAGTATGATTGTTATAATTATGCCAAATACTTTATGTATGGAAAAAGAATATTTGTACATATGTGCTTTTAACAATAATTCTGCCATATTGACTTTACAATTTTGAATGTCAGAAAAATTAATATATGTTAAAATATTTATGTTTAGTGGAAGTATTCATTATTGAGAAAAGGAACATATGAATTTTAGCTTTGTATCTTACAAGTTTTGCAGCCGGAAATTTCTGGAACTAGCTTCTGCTTTTGATGATAACACTTTGTGTTTGTAATCACATTCTTAAAAATATACACACACACACATAGGAAGCTCCATATTCCTGTTGCTTTAAAGAAGTAAAGCCTTCCATTTAAATAAGTTGACATGCATAAGGTAACAAAGCTTCTTTGATTTCCTTTTCCTTTGTAATTTAATAGATTGTTGACTAGTGCTTGGGCACTGTATAAATCAGTGTTATTTGCTCTTGACGCCATTTTTTTAAAAAAGTTTTTTGGCAATGAAGAGTTCAATTTATCATGTGTGTGTATTTCTGAAGCAGCTATATAGAACATTTCAAAAGATTCTGTTTTAGCTCAGATGTTCATGTTGGTTGCTGCTGAATGGTAAATATTTAATAAAATTACCTGATTAATCTTAATATAACTGTCTTTATTCCTGTTATCAGTGTGTCTTTACCTGGAACAGAAGCTGCATAAATCTCTTGGTCATATCTTAGTGAAATTGTTAGACTCCTTTGTTGATAGATCCTGTTTTGGTGTTGTCTTGCCTTGGTTGATGGCACTTCTCCCGACAAAGCTTATCTATGCCTTAGAGAAAAAAAGTTGAAAAGGTAATGCTATTGGTTACTACCAGTAGAGAAGTAAGATTTACTTGGGCGGTGGATTGTTAATTAACCTAACCAGAGCTGTTTTAAAAAGTCAAGCCATTGGGGCGCCTGGGTGGCTCAGTCAGTTGAGTGTCCAACTCTTGGTTTTGGCTCAGGTCATGGTCTTGGCGTCCTGAGATCCAGCCCT